CTGGTGTTTCTTTATCAAAAGTTCAAACAGGTTAACCAAGCATGGCCCTGTCTAGCCTTTTTTAAAATTAGCCATCAATTAGGCGGTTTCACTTGCTATGACTGAGCAGAAAGGTTTTCACCATAATAGATTTACTATTCTTTAAGAGGTGGAATTCTTAATGTCTGAGCTTGGTTGTTTGCTTGCTGATGTTTCATTACCCAAATTGGTAACATCATCAATATACAGTAACCCAAACAAGAGACACACTGATGATGTTACCTAATTGGGTACTGAAACATAAGCTCAGAGAACACCAAGAACTCCACAGTTCAATCTTGGGCTACACATATTCTCTTCTATTGGTACTCTTCAAAATGCCACAAGACCTAGTTGATTTTTCAGTTTTTATTGTAGTGGAATTACTTGTTAAACTGGCTTTGTGCGGTGGCAGGAGGCTGTTGGGTTTCATTCAGTCCAGGATCTGCCATAGGTCAAGGAACTTGGCAATGGAAGTGTCCTTTTTGTACTACAGCCTCAGATGTAAAGCTGTGTTCCCTTTCCGTGTCACTTTGTTCTTCAGCGGCTTTGTTCTGGACAGAGCAGGAACAGTGTTCATTGAGCTACTTCAGGAATTGAACATTCTGTATTCTGGGCAGCAAACTGAGAACTGGCCTAATTTGCTTCTGCTGCTGTGATCTGCTGATGTTTTCCCCTTGAAAGGTGCAGCCCTTATTACTGATGCCCACCTCCAACAGAGCCTTAGAGAATGATGGAGTTTTGTGTCTGGATGAATGGACTAGGATGAAAGGAAATGGAATGACTAAGTAGAGAATATAGCTGGGAATCGGGAGTTGATGATCTTTGGTATGGAGAGAGGCCCCAGGATAAAACCAAGTGATCGGCAACTGATCTGAGGCATCTGATCTCAATCCTACATGGCAAGACTATGACTGGGAGGTATTGTTTCAAATCTAAAATCAGTGGAGAAAACAAGTAACATGTTGCTGGATTATATGAGACTGGGAGACACTGCATCCAACCTCTTGCTCAGACATGGAGTTCATTTGATAACTGGGCCAATCTTTTTAAAATCAGCTGTTTTACAGAAAGGTAAATTGATGATTCCCTAGAATGGAGTAGAGAACTACCATATAGGTAAAGCGTAAGCATAACATACAATTGTTAGAAAGGGGGAATAAAGCAAATAGAAATATGGAAGCAAGATATTGGGCTCTGGTATCTTGGCAAAGAGAAGAACAAAATTATCATGTTAATGGCATTATTAGAATTTGTAGAATTTTACCAGAACAAGCCCAACTCTAAGGATCTCAGAATATAAAATGTGATTTTAAAAAAAAAGTATGCTGGAAAGGAGGAGGGTTTGGCAAAAAACGATAAGCAGAGCATGATGATATGGACTGAGTGATAGCAGATCAGCTCTCTGATGTCTTAGAGATCCATAATTTCAGACCATGTTATTGTCTAAAACATCTAAAGGGTGCCACTTTGGATATGAGTACAATGGGGCATAATCTGCAGAATGGTACAAGGGTAGCCTTAGAAGAAGGATTTGAAGGAAATTAGAGAGGTGGTATTCTCCAAACAATACTATGAGCATTTACTATGCTCCAAACAGCATAGTAGAATGAATGTCATATTTTTAGGAAGCAGGAGTTCTCAAAAACAGTAGGTGGATGGATAGAAGGAACAAAATTTTCAAACCCTGATGTATCAAGATTTGGCCTTGTATTGTTTAGGGGATGGCTCCTCATACACTACCTCTCAGGTCTCAAAATTTTTTCTAAGAGCCGTAACCATTAGAGGAGAGCGCTGTGGTCCCTCTCAGCCGGGGCTTCCGGTGGCCGGCTATTCGTGATGTTCTTTTCCCTATGTTTTTCTGTAGCTATGCTTGCATTTTGGTCTGTGACCGTAAATAAATTTATTACTATTATTACAAAGACAAAAAATATGTATATAATGTATGTACTACGTGTTTTCCTTATTCAGCATTTTTATTTTTCCAAGAGATATACAATGGCTTGGCAGAACACGCTTTTCTACTATTACCTGTTGACTGTATGCCTCGTCTGGGCCCAGGCCAAGCCACCCCCTGACAAGAAGGATCGTATCCACCATGGTCAAGACCTCAGTGATCACCCCCATGATGACAGTCAAGACTTCCGCTATGATCATGAAGCCTTCTTAGGCAAAGAAGACGCCAAGACATTTGACCAACTAACTCCAGAAGAGAGCAAAGAGAGGCTGGGGTAAAGATGCATTGGTGAAATTGAACAAAGACTTTTGCATTCCAAAACGGGGAGAGGAAGATCAAATGTCTAGTCCTGTAGGGTGCAGGTTTCTTAGAAGACAATGGGTGGATTGTAGGGACTTGCCTTTCCCTACAATTTATAGAGAAACTATAAATTTTGGCAAAAAATAATACAATATATATTGTAGATCTGTTTAATGTATTTGAGCATAGGCAGATTGCAGAAATCAGTTTTTACTTAGAGTGAGCTAATTGAACATCACATCAAAGAACAATTAAACAAGTTGCCTAATTTGCAGAGCTAAAGACATCAAGAAATGTGTTTAACTGATTGATTTAGTTCTTGCCACTGGCTGGTGAAACCAACTGTGAATGGTGGCATATTAAATGCAAGAATTGTAAGTTTATTTCTCTAAGAGGGGATTCTAAGTATGGTGGCTTATTGCGTGCAAATTGGGTTAAGGTGTGGTCAAACTGGTTACAAACATATTTGAAACAGCTAGAGTTTATGAATTCCCTGTCACTTAAGCTTTATACCCATTCCTTGACATGGCCCATTTCAACTACATCACCAAAAGAAAAACCAACCAAAATAATAATGTGATTAAACAAACAAGTCTCATCATATAGCCTTTTTTCTTCAGGAAGCTATTCTCTTGGTCAAATGTAAAGAAAGAATGCTATGAATCCAGAGTCTTTTAAACATAGTATCATCCAGCCATTTAAGAATCATTTCTCCAAAGTTATGTTTCTCAGCCCTCGTAAGATGTACAGGGTTCAATTTCCAGAATTCTGCAGGCTGCCAAGGTTGAAAAACATTGTTCAACAGGCATCAAGTTCTCATTAGAAAACTGATCAGGCAAAGAGGCTCCCCCCCCCCCCCCCGGGAACTATTAAGAATGAATAAGGTGTAAAAGGAAGTTTTCTATTTTCTGCCTCAAGTCCCCCTTTATAAAATGGTGGTTGTCCAGAGAAGTGGCCCCCAATCTTTCGGGCACCAAGGACCAGTTCTATGGAGAGAGGATTTTTTCACAGACCAGAGATTTCGCATGCTGCCTGCATCCTGTGGATGGGGTTTCGCTTGTTTGCTCAGCCTGGTTTCTGGCATGCCACAGACTGGGTCTGGTGCTGGGTCCACGGACTGGGACCCCTGGCCTAGAGGATATTGAGAAATAAGGCATATTTCATAGTGACTATCCAGACCTTGCCTGAAGATTTCTAGAGAGAGTGTGAGAGAAAGAGAGACCCTGATTCTCCTATTACTTCTAGGTAATTGGCTTTCTAATCTAACTTCATCATCTTTACTAAGGAAACACGCCTGTGTGTTTCAAATTTTTTTAACTCATGTTAAATCAAGCACATAATTAAGATGGGGCTCTAAACTGGTCTTTGAATCCCTTGGTCTCTTGGATCTTAATACCGGCCCTAAAAATGTGCTGTACATCATCCACTCCCAGTGGTGCCCCCCAGAAACATCACTTCGCTTCTCAGAAAACCTAGCCTCCACTCCCAATGTGTTCCATAAACACATTACAGGTGGTTTGTGACATTCTTTACAGAACACCAGGCTAGAGTTGGGCAGTCCAGGGAGTTTCTGTAAGCCACTCTCCTTGAGTTTTCATGCTTATTTTTGCAGGAAGATTGTGGACCGAATTGACCGAGATGGGGATGGTTTTGTGACTCAGCCTGAATTGAAGGATTGGATCAAGCATACTCAGAACCGTTATATCTATGAGAGTGTAAACAAGAACTGGAAGGACTATGACAAGGATAATGATGGCCAAATCACTTGGAATGAGTTCAAAAAGACCACTTATGGGCACTATGAAGGTAAGAGGGTGAGAGAGAAAGGAGGAAAGAATCATATGTTTATGTGGGAGGGAGAGAGAAGAAATTTTAAGCCAGAACAAAGGAGAGCACGAGATACTGTAGTCACCTAGCCTGAAAAAAAGCAGATTGAAAAGGTAGACAGTATCTTGAGAAGTTAGGTTAATAAGAGTAATTGATAAAATTTGCCTTCTCGATACTTTGCTGTATCTCATCAATAATTTCAAATTGCTCAAAAAATTAGTTTCCTTTAATACAGCAGTTGCTCCAGAAAGGGTCCAAAAATCAGCAGTCATAACGAATGCTTTAATTTCCTAATGACCACATGCCTTATTACACATTGCATTTAATACAGAGAGTGGTTTGGTTATCACTCAGGATATAGGCTCATTCTGATGAACTGTTTCATGGGTATCATCCTTTGTCTGTGAGTGATTATGGTCAACCAACCTGTAGGAAAATAAGTGTTGATTATATGCTCAAGTTTACTGGTGGGCTTCACTGATGCTCATGTCTCTGCTTTCTTCAGGAGAAGAGTTTGATGATCTTGAGGACAAGAATTCATATCGGAAGATGTTGGCCAGGGATGAGCGACGATTCAAAGGTGCTGACAAAAATGGAGATATGAGTGTGACGAAAGAGGAATTCACAGCCTTCCTTCATCCTGAAGAGTTTGACTACATGAAGGACATTATAGTGATGGTGAGGCTGGGCATACTAATACTAAACAGTGCAAAATTACTCTGGTTTATCTGTCTGTATGAATCTAATCATTGTGGCTTAATCAGCAACATGTCATAGCACATTATGTGGACAGTGCCTAGTCAAGGGAGATTTCTACTTCCTACCTAAATTGGTTTCCCATAACTATTCTATGGTTTCATTCTCTGTGGTTGCATAGAATTAGAATTTCAAATTCAAATAGAATCATCTCCATTTCTTTATTTATCATACTTATATGGCTGCAAAAACCAAAACAATGATTATAAAATTCAATAAAAATGAAAATACTAAAATTCATGGGTTATATATCTTATTTACCCTTAACAATGAGTGAACTGGAAAAATTCTATTGAAAACAGAGAACTTATTTATACATGGAATACAAGTAACACTAAATGGTTGCTTAGTGAATTTATATCTGGATCCACATTCTTTGTTTTGCCATAGTTGATTTTAATATAGTTTGACCAGTGTTCTCATTCACATGACGTCTCAACCATAAACCATAATTTTTGAACTCTATAACTCTCAACAAGCTAAGCCAAAACCCAAACCAATTACAGCTTTTAATATAAAGATCAACAAATTTTTCACTTGATGGGTATCACTACATGCTTTTATATAGTATCAGGTGGGCAACAATATTTTAATATATAAGTAATGCATGTATCTTTAAAAAATTAAAATTGCCCACAATGTGAGCATGCAGAGATCTTGTGAGATTTGCTTTATCTTTTTTTTTTTTTCATACATTCAGTGGCTACCAGCTATAGTATTATGGGTTAATCTTCAACTTAACATGTAAATCCAAATACCATATAAAAAACAATGCTTAGTCAGGTGACTAAGAAACTAGAAGATGTGTAGACTTCAGTTACCAGAATTTCCTAGTCAGCAAGCTAGTTGGAGAATTCTGGGAATTGAAATCTACAAATCTTCAAATTATTATGTTTGAGAAACACTAGTCTAGATTCTTGCCAACCAGACTAGTAGCAAGGATCAGAGAAGCTTTGCTTCAAAACCTCTCAAAAATATCAGGTATATAATTATACCAGGACTTTCAAATAGCATGTAGACTTATGAAATTTTGGGGCTTGGGGCTTATCTAGTTGAAACAAAGTTCAAAGACCAAGAATTATCTGAATCAGAATAATTTGATTGCATGCTTCAGAAGAGCACTGTCTTGATCTTCCCAACTAGTGACAGATATATTTGTGACAGCCTCTTGCCATTAAGGAATCCTGTTTTCTGTGATGGATGGTATACATATATTGGATGGGTAGAAAACAAATTTATTACTTAGTATTGGGTGACTCATAAAAGAATTGAGCTGAAACTTCTGTAAGAAATTTTGCACCAGCCCTGGCAGCTGTTCAGGGTTTATTTTATTAAAACTTCTATTCCTGCCTTGCAATTTCCATTTAAACTATATTCTCTTTCTCCCTGTTCATTTAACTGTACCTTACCTCTCTTGTGAAATGTTAGATTTTTCCTTTACAAAATATTTCAAATGATGTAAAGGATCTCTCTGTAAAGGATTTTGTAATTACCAAATTAAGATGTAGCGCTGTTCTAGCATAATCCTCCTGAAAAATCCAGAGCTCATTTTTATATGGTAAAAGGTAGCAATGATCTGTTTTATGCTTGCAATATGATACGCAAGAATGAAATGTGGCTACTGCTATTCAGAAACTGAAATGAGATGCTGATTTAAAATCAGCTCCCTGTTTTTTTAAAAAAGGGACAAAAAAATCCAAACCCTCTAATATTCTGTCTGCTATGTAAACTGTTTTGAGTTTCAGTTGAAAAATTAGTCTTTTCTCCTTAATGCTTAAGAGAGTAGTCCAGTATGCTATGTTTCATTCAGCATCTCCTTTCTCCCAAATGCAAAGCTGAGTATAATCTTGGAGAAGTCCTTCCCAATTTCCTCCAAGATGATAGCACACACAAAACCACAGCTGTGGTTTTGTGTTAGAGCAGCAGCTTTGCAGAAGGGAGAAGGGAGAACTCAGTCCAGAAAAATCTGGGGAAAATCCCATCTGAGACCCTGCAGAACCATTGTTGGTCCTCCTTTGAGTAACCAAGGCCCAAACTTAGAAAGCAATTATGACTTGCCCACATTTCCCATGACTTCCTTGTTCTGCAACAGAAATATACTACCAAGCATCTAGGAACAGAAAATGCCTTTTACTTCAGGCACTATTTCTTGAGATTTTGGTATCTTTTTGGCACAACTCTCTGTGGGAAGATCTACTGTACCATTAAGAGTTACCCTTCTGACTTTTTCAGGAAACCCTGGAGGACATAGATAAGAATGGTGATGGCTTCGTAGAAGTTGATGAATATCTCGGTAAGAATATAAGAATTCTGCCTGAATGACAATGGATGACCCCCTATTAAGAAGTAGGCTGGTTTGGGACAGAGCTGTAAGTCTTTTTTTAGCCCAGAAGGACACTCAATATCACTCTTATCCTATTCCTTCATTGACTTGCCTTGATTAAAAGAAAGGTTCTACTTTAGTCCAGCAGCTAGAGAGGCAGGTTTAACAGATTTTTGGTATCTCACTTATTTTTATTGATCAGGTGACATATACTCCCCTGAAACTGGGGAACCGGAACCTAGCTGGGTGACAAATGAACGTCAACAATTCCTGGAACATCGAGATATCAACAAAGATGGGAAGATGGATCGGGAGGAAATTGGGCACTGGATCCTGCCTCCAGACTATGATCATGCTGAAGTGGAATCCAAGCATCTCCTTGTTCAGTCGGACAAAGATCTGGTAAGAATAATCCATGAGAAAGGAGCTGCAATACTCAGGTTAACGCAGTTGTTGAGATATGTGGATGGTGTGTGACCCACTAGCTTTTTTTTTTTTTTTTTTTTTTTTGACAGAGCCCAAATTGGGCGAGTCCCCAAGAATTAAACTTGACTTGAAGATTTTACTTTAGGGCAATTTTAGCTCCAGGTCTCTTGACCTGGATATGGAAGTAGAAGTAAAAGGTTTTGATCCTCCCTCAAATCATGCTGGGTATCCACGCATTCCTTAAAGACTTCTGTCCTAGTTTGCTTGTAATTGGGGATTATTAGAGTCCAATGCAAATTCATGAAATGAAGAAATAGGTCATTTTTTTTAATTATGAAAGAAAACTATTTTGGGAATGAATAGAATTTAAAACAGAGTCCATTCTTTCCTTACTTTTTCCTCACTTTATCTGATTCAAAAATTGTGCTTGTACTCTACTTTCGAAGAGCTGGTGCAATCAGGTCAAATCTTGGCAGAAGCTACTTTATTTAACCTACAAAGGGAAGGAAACAAAAGCATATAGCAGTTCACCAGACTTTTGTTATAGGCTTGTCTACTAACATTAGGCAGGATCTGACCAGTACTACTATAGTCATCTTAAAATTTAATTCTTGAAGCTCATCTTTATTTATTCATTTGTTCATGTCTTTTTATTTATTAAATTTATATGCAGCCCATATCTATTTGAGGTGACTCTGAATGCCAGCTGCACCTCTCAATGCAACTGAAATCTATCCACAAATGCAGTTTAACACAATCTCAAATGAATACTTGAAAGCTTGCCCTTGACTATCTCATCTCAATTTAAGTGGCACAAGGCTATAAACACATCCAGCTTCTAGGACACCAAATGTATTTTCAGCTCCTCAATATCAGTCAAGACCCAAATTTCTTCCTCAGGGAAGCTTCTTTACAATATTGATCATTAATGAGAGCATTAGACTAAGAATTATACATGCTCTAACAAAAAAATTTAATGTCTGTCCTCTAATGAAAAACTTCCTCTCCTGCCCACAAGAATAGAAAGCTGAGTTTCCAAGGCATGCTTTGTTACTGCTGAATCTCTTAAAAGAAAGCAAACTTCTTTTAAGAATTAAAGCAAAACTGCCACATAAAGGAAGGAGTATGTGTACAATGTTCAGATCCCTTGGATATTTTGTTCAGAATTGTGATCTGTGGTGGCTTTGTGTCACACGGCTGTCAATTTCTAAGATATGCAGCTTCCACTATTTGGCTCCAGTTGTCTATCTTTATGTTTTGAAATAGCAGAATAAAAAGGGAGCAACTTGGAATTTACTATTGTAGATTTTTTTTTTTTTTTTGAAGTCATTCTGGGGGGTAAAATACAACAATCTCTGTGGCATCACTAAGAACTTTAGCCCTCTAAATGAGAAAAAAACATAATATTTAAACTAACTGAATTTAATAGAGGAATTTAAACTTTCCTCTAATGATCTGTTCTCGCATGAACTGTTCTAAGAGACTGGAAGCATTCTTATTTTAAAACAGTGTTCTTTCCCCCTGAAAAATTAACACAAGCGGCTGTAAACTAAAGTTTTATATATAATTTACTAATAACACAATATAAGAATGTTAAAAAATAAATGATTGGGATGTAATTGGGTTATAATTGTGCCCTTCTCTCCTTGCCTTTCTATTTCTCTTCTCCCACTGCTTCACTTCCTCCCCCACATCGCAGGATGATAAAATAACCAAGCAAGAGATTTTGGACAATTGGAACATGTTTGTGGGGAGCCAGGCTACCAACTATGGTGAAGATTTGACAAAGAAGCATGATGAACTGTAATTGGCCTGGGTAGGGGATATACAACAGCGGGTTCTCCCTTACATGGGAGTGGGAGAAACACACTCCAGAAGGAATTGCTGACTATTTATTGTTGGAAGGGCCTGCTTAAACTTTCTTCAAAAAGTAGCGTAGCTGGCAAACTTGAGTGGTTTTCCCTAGGATCCATTCCTGTTCTTCTGCAACTTCCATCTCCCTCAAAGCACTGTGAGCCCTTGTCATGTTATGAAGATCTCCATGTTCCAGAGACGTTTGAGAAGGAGATTAAATACACCTACATGTGCATTTAATCTCTTCTGTAATGTTCTTAATGCGCCTCAGTTCTTCCCTTGCAATCCACACTCGATCTAAGGGAAAGCAAAGATTAGCTCCCTCAAATGCTTCCCTTCTTTTAAGAAGGCAAACATGGCTATTCTCTTTTCAAACACTTGTCTGGGACCTGTTGGGAATAATGAAATAACCACTTGGGTTCAAAATTACCTCCTATTTCTGTTTATGTAGGTAAAAAATGTTGAATGCAGGTTGAATGTATTTTTAAGCATCTTAGTGGTAGCCAATACCTTGGATAAATACTGCTTATCTAGGCTTGTAGTTCTTTCTCTGTACCCCTTCCTTCTCCAGGATAACAGGCTTTCCCAGGATGAAGTCATAGAGTTGATCAAGCACAGCCTTCAAAGCGCCAAAGAGTATAAAAAAACAGTTGAACATCTGGGAGGCCACCAGGAGTTGTGACCTCTTAACTTGTAAAATTTTGGAATACTAATAAAACCATTTCCCAACCTGTCAAGATATTGTGCCATAGATTGGACAACAAAAGCAGCAAAATTTTAGGGCAAAAAGGTTGATCCAACAAAAAAGCATGTCACTTTTTTTTAATAGTAATGAATTTAAAAGATACACTGAGCACAATGTAGTGAGAGATACACTACATTGATTATGTGAACTGCACCCTCTATTTTCTTTTCCAAGGTAGAAAAATTTGACAATTAAATTATGACTCCTAAAAATAAGCTATTGATTACACATTTCCCAAGTTAATAATTCTTTCTTTCAAAAACTTTTAAGTAAGTCTGGTTTACAAAATTACAGGATACTTTGTCTTTCTTTGTATGCAATATTAGCTCTTTTAAGCTAGCAGATGGCAGCCAGCATCAGGTGGAGAATCACCCCTTTCTTTTCCATCTGAATATACTAAGCTTGCATCACAGGCCGAGATTTCTTGGCTTCCAGCTCCACGCCTGACCCTGCAAATCCTGTGCCACCCTGGAAAAAAAGAAAACTCGTAAGGAAAGAGGAATGGCATGGTGAAGTGAAGACCCACCCCTATCCTGTCCTTGATGGTTATGGGGTTTATGTTCTGCTCAGTGCTTGGGCTGGGCAACATTACAACTGAAGCCCAAACTTCTTTCTTGACAGCTATTCTTGGGATGTGTGATTGCCCTGGGAGGAAGAAATTCTCTACAAATATTCAGAAGCATTCAGAGTCAGAATTAGTTCCCTAACCTCAAATTTGCATATCATATTTTGCCCTAAACCTGGATTAACAAAACACGACTGATGCGTTCATGAGACTTGCTATTTTAAAACCTGCCATATCATAGTATACATATGATAGTATATATATGATATGCTTTATAAAACATGCTAATAGTTTTCTACAACATGCTAAACCACAAACATCTGTAGGTGCCCAAGGGGTAACATTCACAATCCAAATAATCCCAGATAAATTATTTCTATAGATATCGGTACAGATTTTTGAAGCACTAGAATGTTTCCAAACATCACACAATACAGAAATTATTTCAAAGCATAGCTGGAGAGATACATGATAGTTATCTTTTACAAATAAAAAAAAAGATAGTAGTCATTGCTTAGAAGGCTAAAGGAAAGCCATCTTACTGAGAAACTTCTCAATATTTAGATCAACATAAAGATGTTAAGATTGATTTTGGATCAGCTCTCTCTCCACCCTTCAAATGTATTGGAACTATACCTACTAAAATTGCCTATTCTGGAAGGCACAGAACATGTGCTTTAATAGTCAATCTCACCCGTTGTAAAACTATGATGTCTTTGTCAGTCAACTTCTCTCCATTCATTGGATCAACCATATCCTTCTTGATAAGTTTTTCCACACATTCCAAAGTCACAACTGAGCCTCTTGGGGAGAAAAAAAAATCATTTACATATTAAATGTAAGACAGATTCCTATGCCTGGATCCAACTAGAGATTTCATCTCATATGTAACCTTTCCTCTCAGAAAACCCCCTTCTCATTACTCACGATGGACGGAGCACAGCACAAGGGACAGAGTTTCCAAGCATGTCCCGTGTGACAGCACACACGTAGCGGTCCTGCCGGTTGATTAGTCCAACGCGATCTACACTAGCATCTACTGGGGTGAAGTGCACTGGGATAAAATCTTTCAGCTTCAGTGGTTTCCTACTCATAGGGCAGTACACACACTTGTCCTAGAAGAAATGACATGAATAAGATAAACTGGGATAAGATAAAATAACCCTAGAAACTGGGGGCTGTGACTTCTAGTCCTCTTGGGCACGAAGTCAGCTGGGTAACGTTGGACCAGTCACTGTTTCATCCTTGAGAAGGAGGCAGTGGCAAACCATTTCTGAAATCCTGCCAAGAAAACTGCAAAGACTTCTCCAAGCAGTCACCAGGAATCAACACTACCCAAAGGCATGCACCATCACACATGGGTTAGATTAGAATAAATATGGAAACATGTATTCTAATCCTGTCTTTAAGCCGTGGTGGCACAGTGGTTAGAATGCAATACTGCAGGGCTAACTCACTGCTCATACCAGGTGTTCAATTCTGAGTGGCTCAAGGTTCACTCAGCCTTCCATTCTTCTAAGGTCAGTACAATGAGGACCCAGATTGTTTGGGGGCAATAGGCTGACTCTGTAAACTGCTTAGAGAGGGCTGTAAAGCACTGTGAAGCAGTATATATTGCTATAAGCAAGCCCTCAAATATTCACAATTCAAATGTTTTATTTATAAGATCTGCTAATGCAGAACATCTATGCAATAAAAAAAACATAACCTGAAATATTTCTCCCCCATAAGTAATCTTTAATCAGCAAATAAGGAACTCGAATATTTTAAAAAGAGTTCCTTCATATATCGGGATCATTTAAACATGGGTGAATTTTTTTAAATATTAGAGGTGAGCAACCATTATGACTAGTTATGGGACCTCTGGTTCAACAGATCTGGACTGGACCAGTTTGGAAAAGGCAGCATAAACTTTTGATACCTTTCAACCAACACCCATGAACAAAGAAAAACAAGATTAACAGAAGGGCTTCTGATTTGGGGAGGAAAAAATTCTAGATCCAATAGAGCTATTAAGTAAATGCATTAAGTAAAATTTAGGACTTTTCCTAAGAACTCTGAAACTAAAAAATTTCACTTTTTAGTTCCAGAAAGGCTTTGTGAATACAGCACCACATTAATCCAAGATTTAAAGGTTGTATAGTTCTTTATAGACATGGCAGATAAGCTGGTTTAGTTTTGTGGCATACACAAACTGCAAGATGTACCTATCCTAACAGAAGGCATTAGGATAGCGGTGTCAAACTCAAGGCCCGGGGGCCAGATCCAGCCCACGGGGTGCTTAGATCTGGCCTGCGGTGCTGCCCTGGAAACAGTGAAGGACTGGCCCACAGTGCTTCTGCCAGTGAAAATGGAGCTCCGTTTTTCCTGGCAGAAGGTTGCAGGAGGCCATCTCAGCCAAAAACAGAGCTCAGGAGCCTGTTTTCTCTGGCAGAGCACTCGGGCCACCACAAGCACCCCCAACACAAGTAACATCGAGCTGGCCACACATACCCTGGGCACGTACACTCTGCCCCCCCACCCCCACCCCGAGGTCAAACACAACCCTGATGCAGCCCTCAATGAAATGGAGTTTGACACCCCTACATTAGGAGAATCTTGAAAAAGAATGACAAAATAAGAACCATATTAATTCAAGCTTAAGAGTTTTGGTTATTCTTTATAGAAACCACGGCAGTTAAGCCAGTTTAGCTTTGTAATGTAGTCAAACGGCAAGAACGGCGAATCTTAAAAAGGAATGACAAAATAGCTCACTGGTTTTGGAATGGCTTTGGTCTTGGCCTCAGGCGTCAGCGAAGGGATCCAAAAACTTGGTAGCTGTTTGGCCTTTTCTCCACTGCTGGGCCCAGCTTGAGGGTCTCCTATAATGCAGAGAACAGAGTTATTAAGATTAATTACTTAATAGTAATTAAGTAATTAATCTTAATAAAGCAGCACTGAAATTCATCTACATGTTCAGGGGGTGCTGTTGTAATATCAAGTGTCCTTGTGCATAATTTTATATGCACTCATGTGCTGCTAAAAACATTTTTTTACTATTCTAGAGGCATACATACACATTCACACATCATTAAAAACAAGTTTTACTTTACAACTGGTGACATATCCCCTCCACCTTTATGAGGTACTTCTGTTTGACATACAATTTACACATGGGTTACAGTGGCTCTGTGCATGCTTAGTCAAGAACATGTAAAAAGATCCAGGAAGTACTTTTCTTGTGCATCCCAAAATGTGTCCCTCATCATTACATAGAGCCAGGTGGTGCAGTGGTTAGAATGCAGTACTGCAGGCTACTTCTGCTGTCTTGCCAGCTGCCAGCAGTTTGGCAGATTGAATCTCACCAGGCTTAAGGTTGACTCAGCCTTCCATCCTTCCCAGGTGGATAAAATGAGGACCCAGATTGTTGGGGGCAATATGCTGACTCTGTAAACCACTTAGAGAGGGCTGTAAAAAGCACTGTGAAGCAGTATATAAGTCTAAGTGCTATTGCTATCATTACTTTAGCGCTACCAAGCTCAACAAAGATGGGAATAGCACAAGCATTGTTACTCCATGCTCGAAGAGAGGGTTCATTTTTGTAGCAACTGCCTGCATTTTTCCTGGGTGACTCATTTCCCACTGATGCAAAGAGAATGATAGCAGGAGAGCTAACTTGAAAAGAGGTGATTGTGGGGAGACAGTGAAACTGAAAAATGGAATGAAGGTAGGGAAAAAATTTAAGAGAAAAAGACAGAAACAGTATGTAAGGACTTTACAGTATGTAAGGACTGATAAAAAGTCACCTCCCCAAGTTTAGTTTATAATGGGATATTTTAATTTAAAAACCCCAGAAAATATCAGCCCTTTTATTACTTGTATTTACTTCTCCACATAATTTACATTTGAAACACACTTCTTCCAACAATGGATAAACTTATTAAAGCTGTTATGAAAGAGCTCCACAAATTGAAGTTTATCTCTTCAACTTCACAATCTCCTCTTGAGTGGTTTACAAAGTGTGAGGCCCAGACTTGTCATGTTGCAGGAAATAACTTATTTCTGCTTTCAAACTCACCTTAATCATTTGTTGACTGCTGCAATTAAGTGTTGCACACATATACATAGAACTCATCTCAAGGCTCATCTGGAGCCTCATTTTTTATTCAACCCTTGTAAGAGACTGTCTCCCCCAACAACCCTGGTTTCTAAGGTTGCTCAAGCCACTGCACCATGAATTACAAACATTGCCAAAAGGCAGAGAAAAATGAATAGGAGCTTTGTGAATACTCTGCTTCTGCAAGGCAAGCAGCACCAGAACAGGGAAAATGGGAGCAATTCTTATCAAGTTTGGCAGCATCTTTAAAATTTACACGAGACCAGGCACAGCAGTAGGAGGAATCCATTCTTGTTATACATGTACACAGAAGGTATATAAGGTATTTCCCCCTTCCACCACCAGTTGCTTAGACATTGCTTGCATTCCTGATTTACCTGACTGACGATCAAAGGGATTCAGGGGTTTGCTCACAATGCTCAATTCTTTGTCAAGGAAACTCTTCACCTGGGATTCTTTAGCAGCCTTGCTCAACTCTGCCATTTCTGCCTTCTTTTCATTCTTCTGTTTTTCATAGGCCTGCAGATGCCAAAAAGGAAGCATTTACTAAGGAACCATTCACTGTTGCTCTACTTTTCAGCATTTCAATTGTAAAGCAAATGCTTCTGTTCTATATAAGAGATGTAGGGCAAACATGTAGTGGGGATAACTGTGCTCATTAAAAGCAAAAATAAAGTTTAAAAAAGCTGTTGGCTTCATAATTTCTTTTAAATGAGAAAAGTTTGACCAAAAACCGAAAAGCTTGATGGCAATTAGATGAAGAAACTAGACTGCAGCTATGGAATGCCCAGCCAACAGCAGCACTAACAGAGTAAATACATTTGATGGATCCCAATATCCCAGCCTTATAACAACAGCACTGAGGAGTTAAGATACTAGATACCCAAACAAGTAACTGAGAGATAAACATAAAACAGAGTGTGGCTTCTAGCTTAGTAGAGATATAGTCTTGCTAAAAAGTGCTGATTTTTTTGATCTACATTCCTCTAATGTAGCAATATCACCTGAAAAGGGAAAAAGAAGAGTCATTCCCATGACTCTTCTCTAGCCTCCAGAATGGGATTTGAAGATATGGCAACTAAAATATACAAGAATCATTGTGTGCCCTTTTTATTTTTTGATACTCTGAATCCAAGACTGACCAAAAGACAGGATGCCTCTGTTAACACTTAAATCTCTTTTTAAGTCAGGAATCGATGGCCAATAAGGTCCATATCAACTTTTACTAAAGAAACTTAGTTCAGACATTCCCTATTTTATAAATTTATCTTCCAGTTCTAGGAAGAGAATGTATTTATTTATTTGTATCTCACAAATAACTCAAGGCAGCAAGCATATCCAGCACACTTTCCTCCTTATCTTTTCCCCACAAGAACCACATCTGAGGAGAAATGGGCTGGGAGAGTGATTGGCCCAAATCACCGAGCTGGTTTCCACAACTAAGGTGGAACTTGAACTCCTGCTTTCTAGCCTGGTACATTAAAATCGCCAGGACAAAGCAAAAGAAACAAAATTTGGTCACAGCTATGGAGTTCATCTGCAGTTTTCAGTCAAATCCTAAATATATTGTTATATAATGTTTATATATTAATTCTAGAAGAAATTTCTCAAAGATGTTTATAGAGCAAAACTGAATAACCACTAAAAATCTTTCTTGTTTCTACATCTATTTCCGCATCCTTTCTTGAACAGACTGTTTCTTAAGTCTTGCAGCCTCATTGGTCAGATAATATCAGCCCTTCCTGGCCATTAATCAATGATTGTCAGAGACTTTGAACATTTTTTTGCCTCAAACTGAGCCTACAGTGAATCACTGACAGAGGATAAAGGCTTTTGATCTGGATAAATGCTACTGAATATCAGGCCTATGAAAAGAAGACTAAAATAATTCATGTGAATTGTTACAAAGATAAAGTATCATCTAAGTCCAGTGGTGGATTTCTACCAGTTTGCCCTGGTTTGGGCAAACCGATAGTGGCAGCAGCAGGAGGCTCTGGCCACCTGCCCGGATGTCATAATGGACGCTCTGCGCATGCGCAGAAGCGCCACAAGCAAGCAAAGCAAGCGCGCATGCGCGCCCACTCACAGTTCTGAACTGGTAGCTAAGGTGGAACCCACTACTAAGTCCTTATAAAAATGCAGAATGCCCACTAAAGAAACCATACTAAACTCACTTCAGCTAAGTCACATTTACTGGGTTAATTTTCATGTTCTATAGCATAGATTAGTGATGGCAAACCTTTTCAGCAACGCGTGTTGAAAAGGTTGCATGAAATATTGTGTGTGTGCACGCATGCTTGTCAGGGCCGCACTCCGGAAAAGCCAAACTTCTGGGTCCTAGCCTGCATGCGCACCTAACAATCAACTGGCCGGTGTGCATGTACACACCGGTTTTCTGCACTGCTAGCCTCGTGAAGGACAGCTGATCATTACACACGCATGCACACCAGAAACCTGGAAGACAAACAGGCAAGGCCACGCATGCCGGGCCACATGATTTTCATGTGCCACTTTGGCCACGCGTGCCATAGGTTCGCCATCATGGCCATAGATATTTTATGTTGCTGGGATTCAGTTATTTTCTGCATCTTCTTTCATTTGCTAGCTTTTTAAGGCACAGTCTTCCAATATATCTATTAAAATTGACAATTACGTATGAACCCAGCCATCTTTGTAGCTCTCTATATTGGCATACCTTCATTTGTCGTGCAATTTCCTTTTTCTGATGTAGGATATACTCCAGGATAGCTTCTTTTTCATAGAGGTATCCATCAGGGCTGGAAAAGGGGGGGGGGGAGCAAGATAAATATCACTTTTAAACCCAGCATAACCCAAGTCCTAAAGCCCCCATGCCTCTTTGACTACAGTGAGAATTTCAGAGCATAATCATATTCAGTTGTTGGTTCCTGTATTCTAAGATACATCTGAAAAGTCATAACATATATAACTGAATGGCAAGATAGGGCATGTTTTTAATGTCCAGAATGACCCTTAACCCTTTTGAGACAGTTACAGAGAAGAAGCAAATGGTTAGGGCTATAGAGTTCTTTTTTTTTTTTTTTTTTTTGAGATTGGGGCAGGAAGTTGGAAGGGTTTTTTAATTTTTAATTACACTAAGCCTATTTTGAGATACTTTTTAATTTGTGTGACAAAATGTCAAGAAACCATGCCATTACAATTAGAGGGAGCTTTATGGGCTTCAAAAAAGTGGCTCAGGAAACACATGGTAAAGTTTCAGGGTCAGGGAGGAGAGAGATGAAACCAACAGAATTCAAGAAGTCTAGTATCTTGGACTTCCGGTTTGCAAGCTTCGGCGACGGCGGTGTTTTTTTAAAGACCGCCAGCCCCGCCGCCTGTAGAGCCGCCCCGCGAACGAGGAGCGGCTCGAAAACTCCGAAATCTTGAAGATTGTAGGAGCAGAGACAGCAGGGCACAGGTTGAGCCCCTGTAACCCCCCAGGGAATTGTTTCTGGGGGAAAAACAGGCGCGGCTCCCTCCCAACCTGCGGAGACTCCGGGCGGCGTGGGACGATTCTGCCTTCAGCAGAACAAGCCGGCAGCAGCAAACTTTTAAAGTGAAAGGAACTAACCCTAACAAACAGTGGAAATACCAACTTGAATCCAGAAACTTGAAAATTGCAAGTATTAGTGCTTTGTTGACTTTTTAATTCAAAAGAGAAAGCGAGTGAGTGAAAGTGATTTGAAAAAATATGGCGCCCAGCATTTGAGTTAACGAGCTAGTGAAAGTGGATTTGTGAAGCCTTTCTGCTTTGCTATAAAGCTACAAAGCTGCTACAAAGTTACTTTACCTAAAGAAAAAATTTCTTTTTCTAAAAATTTGATTTTGTTTTACTTCAGTTTTATTTGACTAAATCTGGGGGACTTTTTTAGAAGTCTTTGTGCAGGAGGGAAAGGAAAAGGAACTTCCCTCTTCAGAAAAACTAGCTTACGTGGCAGGATGGCCTCAAAGAAGCAGGAAGGGAAGGCAACAGGGGGGGGATCCCCCACACACAAACATGAAACGCAGCTTCCCCCTGCTCAACAGTTACAGACTCAGAAAAAAGAATTTGATGTGGGAGATTTAAAAGAATTTATTTCTAAAACTTTGGATGATAAATTTCAAAAATCTCTACAGGAGATAGATGATAAACTTCAAAAATCACATCAGGAGATAGATGATAAACTTCAAAAATCACATCAGGAGTTTATGCAGGAAATTAATGAAGTTAAAGATATGGTGAAACAGAATCAAAACAAGGTGACCAAAAAAATATCAGAAGTGGCGTCTGGCCTGGCAGAATTTATTGTGAAAGTTGATTCTAAAGTTGAAGAACTTAAATCAGAAGTTAATGTTAAGATGAAAGACAATGATTATAAAATTGCTGATGCTGATAATAAAATGCAAAGAGTTGAAAACGAGATTGTCATGATACAATTCAGGGCAATGGAGTTTGCTATACGGCTTCGAGGAATTCGAGAGGAGGAAAGACAGGATTTGAGACAAGTTTGTTCTGAGGCCCTGGCTAAGATTTTACAAGTCAATCCAGATTGGTTTTTCACAAAATAGATAAAATTTACAGAGTGAACTCTTGGGTGGCCAGACAAAGACAATTACCTAGAGATGTGGTCATATACTTTACAGAAAGAGAAATAAGAAACGATATCCTGCAAAAATCCTTTTACACTTCTGTACAAGTGGGGGGCTCACGAATTGGAATTTATAAAGAATTACCTCCTAAAATGCTGAAAGCTAGAAAAGAATTTGGGTTTCTTGTTAAGGAATTGCAAAATTTACAGATACCTTTCCGGTGGGACGCACCAGTCGGCATAATTTTCAGATACAAGGGAGAAAGATACCCTTTGAATACCGTGGAGAAGGCACAGCACTTCTACACTACTATTCTTAAGGAAAGAACACCATCTCCACGTACATCTACAGTTTTGGAGATTAAAGAGAGTGAAGAGAAGCAACCTCAACGAGAACTGCAAGAACAGTCTAAGCAGGAATTAGAAGAAGTGCAAGGTGCAGAAGGAGGTTTTCTGGATGAGCCCTTGCTGGAATCTTCTCCAATCTTGGACTCGGTTCGGATGATTGAAGTTAAGGATCAATGTATAACTCGAGCTCAAGCTAAGTTACTTAAACAAAAGCAACAACAACAACAGGAAAGACAAGACAAGGAGGCAGATAAGAGTACTGCACAAGAGATTGGAGCTATGGGAGGAGCGAGATCGAAGCTTTTGGATGATCTTCAATTATTTTGCTCTTTGCTCCAGAAAGAGGCTGATGATGTTTAAGTGCTTATCCTGGAATGTTAATGGGTTGAATTCAGCACAGAAAAGGAAGAAATTATTTACATATTTGAAACAATTTAATAATGATATAATTTGTTTACAAGAAACGCATATCACAACTCAAGATCAAAAATATTTGATAAACTCCAAACTAGGAATACATTTTATATCTTCAACTTCGCAAAAAAAGAATGGTGTGGTAATTTATGTAAATAAAAAGTTAACAGCTAAAGTTATAGAAACAGATGAAGATGGTAGGTTTGTAGCAATTGAATTGTCTACAGCAAATGGCCAAATTCTTCTGATTGGGATTTATGCTCCCAATCAACAACAGGACTATTTCTATAAGATGTTACATACTAAAATATTGCAATGGGATTACAGATCTATTTTAATTATGGGAGACTGTAATGGAGTAATTGATTCTAAATTAGATAAAAAGAGTTTGGCAAAGTCTAGAATCAGATTACCACAGACCTTTTTTGACATGAAAGAAGATATGGAACTAAAAGATGTTTGGAGAATACATAATCCAAAAGAATTGGACTATACTTTTTTTTCTGACAGACACAGATCCTTCTCTAGGATTGATTTTATTTTGTTGACAGATGATTTACTTGTTAAGACAAAAAGAACAAAGATTTTTCCAAGAACTTTGACTGACCATAGCCCAGTATGGATAGAAATGGAGATGGATAAGGTTGAGAGACGTTCTTGGAGATTAAATGAGAATTTGTTTAGATATGAAAAAAATACAACAGAACTTAAAAAGCATCTGAAAGAATTTTTTGAAATAAATTTGAATAAAGGTACCCCAATTGAAATTGTGTGGGATGCAAGTAAAGCTTATATGAGAGGGGTACTTATCTACATGAACTCTAAACATAGACTGTTCCGACAAAAGAAAAGATCTGAATTGGAAATAGAAATAAAGAATAAAGAACAGCTACTTATTAAAAATCCAACAGATGAAAGAATACGTAGTGCTATAAAACTTTTGAAAGACCAATTTCAAATGCTTATGGCGGAACAAGTTGCAACAAATTTACAATATGCGAAGCATAACACATTTTGTAATGCTAATAAACCGGGCAGATGGTTGGCTTACACATTGAGGAAAAAACAAAGTATACGGACTATTGATAGTATTGATATTGGAGGGAAAGAAATTTTTCAACAAAAATTAATTAAAGAAGCTTTTGTGGACTATTATACTAAATTATATGCTAAAGAGGAGGTGCAGAATGGACTTATAGAAAAATATCTAAGCGATAAAAGAGTTACAAAAATTACTGATCAACAAAAGGAAAGAATGAATTATCCTATAACAGAGGAGGAGATAATAGTAGCAATTAAACAGTTAAAAACAGCCAAAGCTCCTGGCACGGACGGCTTGACTGCAGTGTACTACAAAACTTTGCAAGCTGAAATGGTGGAACAACTTAAAGATTTATTTTGCAATATTCAGCAAGGGGGTAAAATACCCCCATCATGGACAACAGCTTACATATCTTTGATACCAAAAGAACAAATTGGTCCTAAAAAACCAGAGAACTATAGACCAATATCTCTTTTGAATACAGATTATAAAATTTTTGCGAAAGTACTAGCCAACAGGTTGATGCCAGTAATTCAAAAGGTGATTCATGATGATCAAGCGGGATTTATCGAGGGCAGATATATGAAGGATAATGTAAGGCAAGTAATAGATTTATTGGAATATCTTGAGAAGAATAAACAGATCCCTGCAGTGCTGGTCTTTTTGGATGCAGAGAAGGCCTTTGATAGAGTGGATTGGAATTTTCTATTAAAGACTTTGAAAAAGATGGACTTTGGGGATCAATTTATACAGGCGATTTCGGCAATTTACCAAGAGCAAAAGGCACAGATCATAATTAATGGAAGTCTGACAACAGAGTTTAAAATTGAAAAAGGAACAAGACAGGGATGTCCGTTGTCCCCACTTTTATTTATTTTAACACTAGAAGTCTTGCTAAATACAATACGGGACTCTAATATTTTGAAAGGTATAAAGATCAGGCAAGAGGATTACAGAATAAAGGCATTTGCAGATGATCTGGTTGTTACCCTATCACAACCAATGGAATCAATAATCTTGATGAAGGACATTATACAAGACTATGGTAAAGTTTCAGGTTTTAGATTGAATCCAAAAAAGACTAAAATGATAGCTAAAAACATGACACAAGATCGTAAACATGAGCTTGAAAGGAGGGCAGGTTTTGAGACTGTACCTAAGGTAAAATATCTAGGAGTTCAGGTTGCAGAATCAAATATGAAATTGTTTCAAAATAACTATGAGGTGTTGTGGCGAGAGGTGCAGAAAGATATGGAGACTTGGAAAAAACTGCAGCTGTCTCTACTTGGAAGAATAGCAGCAGTTAAGATGAATATTTTGCCAAGATTTCTTTTTTTGTTTCAAATGATTCCGGTGCTTAAAAGTGATAAACAATTGAAAGTTTGGCAATCTGGAGTGAATAAGTTCGTCTGGAACGAGAAGAAGCCGAGAGTGAAATTGAAAATTATGCAAGATGTTCCAGAAAGAGGAGGTCTTAAACTTCCAAACCTACAGCTATATTATGACGCAGCAGCTTTAACTTTAACAAGTGATTGGTTTGGAAGTAAAAAGGCTGGAATACTGAATGCAGAAAGTTTTGATCTTGAATTTGGATGGCATGATTACTTATTTTATGATGACAAAGTTGATAAAGTATTTAAAAGTCATATACTTAGAGATTCTTTGATGAGAGTTTGGAAGAAGCATCGACTCAAATGGGATTATAAAATACCGCTATGGCTGGATCTTGGTCATACTTTGTGGAATACAAATATAATGTCACTCGGGGGGGGTTTATACAAAGAGGTTCTTTTTACAGATGCGGGCAGATGGCAGCTGAAGACATTGCAGACACTGTTGGACGAAGGGATTAATTTAACTTGGTTACAATATAATCAATTACAATTGAAATGGAAAGAGGACCAAAAAACTGGTATTATGTTGCACGAGGAAGAATTGGTTAGACATATAAGAGAGAAAGGTCCAATGCATATCAAAAGGCTTTATAATGTTTTGCTAGAAAGGGATTCAGAAACTGAATTAGTTAAAGATTGTACGATTAAGTGGGCACAAAATTTTGAAGAACCAGTGATGTTGGAAACATGGGAAAAAATTTGGGTTCAGAATGTTAAATTTACACAGTCGCAGAACCTGAGGGAAAATTTCTATAAAATGTTTTATAGATGGCATTTAGATCCCAAAAAGTTGTCATGTATGTACCCTAATGTTCAGCCAAAATGTTGGAGATGTGAATGTTTGGATGCTACGTATTATCATGTTTGGTGGACCTGTAGGAAAGTTAAAGCTTTTTGGATAAAAATTTGGTGGGTCATGCAGAATGTTTTGAAGGAAAAAATTCAATTTTCTCCACAGTTGTTTTTATTGGGTATAGTTAAGGGTTTTACATTGGGTGAAACAAAATTGATATTGTATATGATAACAGCAGCAAGATTGTTGATAGGTAAATACTGGAAGAATGAAGCTTTGCCCACTATCGAGGAATGGACTTTGAAGATGGCCAGTTTTGCAGAGATGGCGAAGATTTCAGCATATTTAAAAGATTGTTCACAAGAGACTTATGAATGGGAATGGAAAAGGTGGATAGAATATGTTCAGAACAAATATCAAACTAGAAAGTATCAAATAGCTTTTATTTGAAAATAATGTATTGGAAATATTTTAATGTAATGAGGTAAAGAGAGAAATTATACAGGGGAGGGAGGGGTTCAAGTTTATATATGAGTGTTATATTAAGGGTTTTTTATGAGTATGAATATATTATAGGGAAGTCTGGGGGGAGGGGAGGGTTAGGGAGGGTTAGGGAGGTTGGGAAGTTTGGGGGGGAGGTGGGGGGGGGGAAAGGGGTGAAAATGTAATTGTAAAACTTTTGCAATAAAAAAAAAAGAAGTCTAGTATCTTCGCATGCATAGATATCCTCACTTAAAGACTGCAAGTAAGAACAGCAACTCCTTTACTGACATATTTAAGTGAAATAACACATGGCTATCCCAGATTTATGATGCTGCTTCCACAGCATTCATTAAGCAAATTATCCTAGGTCATTAAGCACAATGCCATGTGATCACAACTTGCAGTTTATTGCCAGCTTCTCCTTTGACTTAGCTTGTCAGAAACTGGTTGTGAAGCTCACAAATGGTAATCATGTGACTGTGGAATACTGTGACCACTATAAATGCATGCCAATTACCAAGGGCCCAAATTGTGATCATGGAGACACTGTGACAGTCATAAATTCAGGGGTGGCTGTAAAACTACTTTTTCAGTGCAGTTCTAAATTTGAACAGACACTAAACAAGGCAGTTAACAGAAGACAGCCTCTACAGATACCAGTTTGACAGAAAAGCGTGTTTTTTACAGAACTGCAGACAAAAGCCAGGACTGGTAATGGAGCTATACCCCATTTCTCGCTGACCTTTGTTGCTTTCAAACTTGTCCACATCATTCCCAATTCTGTAACAGTTCCTGTATTCTGCCCCATTGTTCACCGACTCTCCCCCCCCAAAATAAACTTTTTCTTGCACAGTTGATAATCAGAAATAGCAATCTGTGGAGGATCACAATGCTATAATGCATAAAATAGTTCTCATAAAACATTTCATGTGTAACAATGGATACATGAAGTACCTGATCTGTGTTTCATAGCTAGACTTAAATTTCCAGAGAGGGGGCATAATGGCACAGACATATTGAATTTATGTTCTAGAAACAGAAGGTAATTATTTCCAAACAAAGGCAGGAGAATGGCACCAACAGAATTACGATTGTGCAGGAAGGGCACAAAAGAGATAAAGGTGATTCTTGTGGGTTCTTCCCCCTCCCCTGACCCTGTAAAAAGTAAAAATTATAGTCATATATATATATATATATATATATTCTTTCTAGCCAGGTTTTACCTACATAAGCTAAGATGTTCTTCAGCCCTAGTTCTGTGAAATCTCATTCACAAGCCCAGAAACTTGTGAATGAGATTTCACAGAACTAGGGCTGAAGACATCTTAGCTTACGTAGGTAAAACCCTGGCTAGAAAGAATATGCACATAAAAGCCTACGAAAAAGAAAAAGAAATATATATATATATATACACACATACCTGGGAGGATTTAAAAGGCAAAGTGCATCTATTTCACCCTTAAATTTCCAAATATGCTTCCAAAACAAGGCTTGGGCCAGCACTAAATGTGTCATGCAAATAATAAAGTGCTGTCAAGTGGTAAAAGGTGCACATCATTTTATCTGTACAATTACACACTAAAAAGGCCTCTACATTTGTAAAAAAAATAAATAAATCAACAGCCACATCTATCAAAGGAACAAATAAATTAATGATACTGGACAGGGGCAATTATCTTTTGTTTTTAGAGATTACATTACTGATAAAGTTAAATAAAAGATACACAGGGCAGACTTCAGCATAAGACTTTGAAGTATTTCAAATGGATCCCATCTGATAATTACGTCACAACAGGGTCCTTGCAGGGCTGCAGGGAGAGACAGCAGCAGTCAAAGTCCTTGACAGCATCTTTGCTCAAACGGACGTTCTGTGTCCCATAACCAGAGGCAGCTGAAAAAAACAGAGGGAAGGTCACAATAAGAGAGCAGTATTAAAAAAAACCTATTCAAATGGCTGCTCTGGATTGCTACTTAGAACTGGCAAAAGATAACAACTGATGACACTCTAACCAGAAAGCAGAGTTTGCCAAGAAGGCTCAGCTTGTTTCAAAAGTTGTAGTGTGAATTAGTTTAAGTCTGAGTTTCAATGAAATACTAGAGTGTATTAATCACACTCCAGGGGTGTGACCAAAACTCTGAACTAACCTAGAAGTTTTCCCAATATCCAGCTAGTCATAAACAGCACAAAGGTAACTGCCTCCCGGTTCTGGCTTTCATCCTTTCACTATATTATGTCTGAAATTGTGAGCAAGCAGAGGTGGGGGGGGGGGGGGGAGAAATTACTCCCAAACTTTGTGACAATCGTCTGAACTTTTTTCTATAAAAGCAATATAAACTACACACAGAGGATGCTAGCCGACAAGACCTAGGGATTTCATGAAAACCTTTTCTTTCCACTGAATAATGGAAAGAAAATGTTTGTAGCTATTCTTAGTTTAACAATACATTTCTCCTATCCTTCTTAAGACATCCTCTTCATATAATTTCCTGCACTGTGGATTGCTTTTCCTGAATATGATTTCCTGTCATCCCTAGCCAGCATGCCAACTGATATGCTAGCAGCATAGAATGAAAATTGCAGTTCAGCACTTATAGCAGAAACAGGCTAAGAAAAATTGCTTTGGATTTCCACATGCAATTCCATTATTGCAATGAGAGGCAAACATTTCCCCACTCAACTAAGGAAGCACAGGATGTACACTTCAGTCTGTGGCCACCTCACCTGTGTCTTTTTTCTTTTCATGGTAGGTGTAGACAGCTCCTGCTGTACAGTTCTTGCCATGACGCGTCATGTAGACGTAGCTGGACAATCCAGGACAAAGCCAACTCTCTTCTAACAAGAAGATATCAAATTAACTCTCGCTAATGAAATATAATGCCAGATACAAAGAAGCAGATACTTTTACATAGGAATCAGATTGAAATAAATCCCATGGCTAGAAGTGGAGAATTAAGGAGAAATAACATATAAAACATATTTACAGGATGATTAAATAGGTTAATACAGGCTAAGCCTATATTAAAGGTCTTTAAAACTTTAAAGATATAAAAGACACTATATTTTGTTGATTTATGTCTTTAAAATATATCCATTCATGTTAAAAGGAAAAGAAATTGAAATAATATTGATTTAAGGATTTTAAGATTAGCGTAATGGATTTTAAGAATTTTTTCTTTTTTTAGATAGAATTTAGGGCAATAATGTTAGAGAAAATGAAGTTGTGTTATTTGAAAATTAACATTTGTGGTGAAATAATAGAAGGTAATTGATTTGTGTAAAATGATATAAGTTAGGGAAAAAAAATTCTTTTTTTTTATGGTAATTAGCGGGGATTTGGAAAAAGCTTTTGTTAAAGAGGAATTAGTAATCGTACCTACTTATGACCGGATCAATGGCTCGTTCTGAAAAGATTTTTGTATGTTTATGTGTTTTTAAAAAATAATAAAAAAAAATGTTCAAAAAACAAAGGATATAAAAGACACTGAGAAACAAATTAGTCAGGCAGGTGGATGCCAAACTACTCACAAGCCACACTTGGACCACCGAAGCCAGCAGCCTCTTTCTGAGAGTTTTTCGGGAGGACCTTCCGGCTGGAGGTACCAACAGGAACAGCGACAGCAGCCGGCGATTCCACGGTCCAAAGCGACCTGCTGTGACGAATGGCGGGCAGCAACCTTTTGACAGATGCCTGGTTGGGGTTGCAGATCAAAATACCTCAAAAGGAGCCAGCTGAAAGGTCGGCACCTTAACAACCGTTCCTGGCCTCTAAGCACCTATAGCGCAGCTTTTTTTCTGTGCCGCTCTTCTTTCCGTTTAAGAAATCCTCAAGAAGACGACCGTTTGCCCCCCACCCCCGGACAATTTCTCTCCCCCCCCTCCAGAACCGGAAGCAGGAAATCTATGACTCCGGAAGGGCTCCAAAGAACGGTATCCCCCCGGATGTGTATCAGATAAAACGTCCCGCGAACAAGGGAAAAGGAGGGCTTCTAAGCCGAGGTTCCGGGCATTAAAGAAGCGTTCAGACCTGTGGCTTTTGTCTCTGTGTGTTATGGCCTCTTTTTTTTTTTAACGCCCTCAAAGTCTTTTTTCCAAAATTCCTTTGCAGGTGTGGGGAGGGAGATGGGGGAGGGGACGGGGCGACAAGGGGCTTTTTCCTCTTAAAATGTCTCCAAAATTAGGAGTATATAGATTCTTTCTGCAGTTGCTGTTTCTTTGGATCAGCTGTTATTTTCTGATAGTTGGAGTTACTTAACTATAATAGTATATTTCATACTTCTCCTATTCCAAAAGATACTTGGAGCAGAGTAGGCAACTTCTTTGATACAAAGATTTTGAGGGTCATCTGGTGGCTGGGACTGATGAAAATTATTTTCTAAACTACTCAGAATGTACTACGCTCTAAGCATCTCCATCTGTTAAAAGAGTGTTTTTACCTAAACTTGCTATTTCCAAGTAACTTTCCCCAATCTAATTGAAAGTTGTGGGTTTTGCAATTTGCACATGGAGGAAATCAGGTGGGGAAGGCTATTCTTGCATTGCCAGTCTTTTATAAGTGCTTTAAAATAAAAGTGGGAAATGCAATTGTGTTGTATTTACCTATATCAGGGATATACTTGTAATCCTCAACTTACAACCACAATTGAGCCCAAAATTTCCATTGTTAAGCAAGACAGTTCTTAAGTCAGTTTTGTCCCATTTTATGACCTTGCCACAGATGTTAAGTAAATCACTGCAGTTGTTAATAACACAGTTGTTAAGTGAATATGGCTTCGCCATTGACTTTGCTTGTCAGAGGGTCACAGAAGGTAATCATGAGACCCCGGGACACTGAAACCATAATAAATATATCCAAGCTGCTAAGCAGCTGAATTTTGATCACATGACCATGGGGATGCTGCGATAGTCGTAAGTGTGAAAAACAATCATAGGTCACTCTTTTCAGTACCGTTGTATTGTGAATGGTCAAAAAATGAATGTAAGTTAAGAACTACCTGTACCACTCCCTTTATCAGGGTTTGCAGCAGTGGTGGGTTTCAAATTTTTTTACTACCAGTTCTGTGGTTATGGCTTGGTGGGCATGGCAGGGGAAGGACACTGTAAAATTTCCATTCCCACTCCACTCCAGGGGAAGGTTACTGCAAAATCCCCATTTCCTCCCAATCAGCTGGGAATTAGGAGGCAGATGGGGGTGGGGCCAGTCAGAATTTTTACTACCGGTTCTCCAAACTACTCAAAATTTTCGCTACCGGTTCTCCAGAACTGGTCAGAACCTGCTGAAACCCTCTCTGGTTTGCAGTCCATCAAAGACTTTACAGAAATCACCACCTCTTATCAAACCAGAGAGAGAGAATTTTAAAATCTACTGGCAGAACACATTCCAAGCGTACCTTAGCAGAAAGCATTCTAAAGTTGGAATAATGCTGACTATTCATTCCAACTAGTCAATTGTTAGGCTCTTCTACCAGAACTAACTCCCTCAGCTCAGTTCTGTGAAAATGATGTTTTTGAGCTACCAGGCTAAATAACCCAGAAAACCGAACAAACCTTGTAGCTATTCTGAAACAGACGGGGTAGCATGGGAAATATTTTAGTATGACATTCCTTATAAAATGCATGAAGGCAAAACTTTGGATAGAAAAAAGGATTTTATGGTGGGGGCGGGGGAGAAAAATAGAGGGAAAACAACTATTACCTAAACAGAATACTATAAAATCAAGCAGTCAGCAAAAAAAGAAACTACCATGCTTAATTATTACTGAAGGTCCTGGGTTTCAACTTATATATGTTTATTGTAGAAAGTATTGTGGAGGGAAATGGGGCTGTGTTTGGATATTGATTGTGTAGGAACATGATCTTGGTCCTTTTTGTTTACACATGAGTTTCTCCTGAGCACTGATTTTATAATAGAGTGGAGAATGGGGACAAAAGCCTCTAGAACAATGGGTCTCAACCTTCCTAATGCCACGACTCTTTAATACAGTTCCTCATGTTGTGGTGACCCCCAACCATAAAATTATTCCTAAAACCATTGAAAATATGTGTTTTCCGATGGTCTTAGGCGACCCCTGTGAAAGGGTCATTCGACCCCCCAAGGGGTCCCGACCCACAGGTTGAGAACCACTGCTCTAGAATATCTGTTGCTTTGCCCAATCAAGAAAATGCTCTGGGTCCAACCAGCAAATCAAAAGTTATCTAAAGAGTAAAGCCATTTTCAAAAGACTTGATGGAATTGTAAAAGCACAATCTGACTTTCAGTAGATTTCCCTTTACACAGAAGAGGTCCGCTTGGGCACAAAAGCTAATTTTCATCTTTTCACACCTCACAGCATGGGTTAGTTTATCAGATCCTTTAGGGGGCACTGTGTACCTTTGTTAACACTAGGAGTTGGCCTTCCTACCAAAATGAAAATTTTAATTACAAGGTGGAAGTAATTTTGAAAAAGTTAATGTTACTTCCCATGAAACATGCATATATGAAGATGAAAGACTTTTCTGTCTGGGAGTCTTAAGATGCTTATCTCATATGCCACAACCAGCTGGAAATGAAGCTGATATAACAGACTGCTGTTTGAATTACGTCACTTCTGTTTTGGCAATGATATTGGCCAGATGAATGCATGGTGATTATTGTGCCTCTCAACTCATACATTTCTTTGTTTCTTCCCTTCCACTCTATTAGGAGATAGCAAGCATCAATTGCTTTCCTTTCCATTTGTGGACATAGTTTCTATTTCTAGATCTTTTGAATGAACCCACCTTGTACTTTATACTTTAGAATTTTATTAATTTACTAGCTGTACCCAGCTACGCGTTGCTGTGGCCCAGTCTGGTGCTTCCGCTGGGCTAAAAGAGCAAGGCTGAAGTTCCAAACTCTCCACGAACATTTGGTGGGCGTGGCCAACTCGACATCACTCACTTTCATCAGTCACATGACAGCCCCCGAGCCACGCCTACCCAGCTGATGTCTCTTTCTCTCCCCTCCCTCTGTATCTCTCTGTGTCTCTCTCCCCCCCTCTCTCTGTATCTCTCTCTCTCTCTCTCTCCCCTCTCTATGTATCTCTGTCTCTCTCTCCCCCCTGTATCTCTCTATGTCTCTCTCTCCCCCTGTATCTCTCTATTTCTCTCTCCCCCCTCTGTATCTCTCTATGTCTCTCTCTCCCCCCTCTCTCTGTATCTCTATGTCTCTCTATCCCCCCTGTATCTCTCTATGTCTCTCTCCCCCCTCTGTATCTCTCTATGTGTCTCTCTCTCTCCCCCCTCTCTTATCTCTATGTCTCTCTCTCCCCCTGTATCTCTCTATGTCTCTCTCTCCCCCTCTCTCTGTATCTCTCTATGTCTCTCTATCCCCCCTGTATCTCTCTATGTCTCTCTCCCCCCTCTGTATCTCTCTATGTGTCTCTCTCTCCCCCTCTCTCTGTATCTCTATGTCTCTCTCTCCCCCCTGTATCTCTCTATGTCTCTCTCCCCCCTCTGTATCTCTCTATGTGTCTCTCTCTCCCCCTCTCTCTGTATCTCTATGTCTCTCTCTCCCCCCCCACTCTCTCTGTATCTCTATGTCTCTCTCTCTCTCTTCCCCTCTCTCTGTATCTCTCTCTGTTCCCTCTCTCTCCCACCCTCTCTCTCCCCCCCCATCTTTCTGTATTTCTCTATGTCTCTCTCTTTCCCTCTCTCTCTGTTATCTCTGTCTCTGGTCCGGCCTCTTCTGCATCCCCCACCATCGCCCTTACCTTTTCAGGGCAGGCCTTCGCAGCTCTCCGCACCACAGCAGAAACTTGGGAGGGAGTCCTCCCTACACAGATGTTCTCTGGGGGCTCAATGGGGAGATGCATAGCAGGGAAGGGAAGGGAGGGAGGGAGGGGGTGCGGCGGGGATTCGAGGCTGGTTTGGGGCTTCCCGCCCAAAGGAAGAAAGCGGCAAAGCCAGGAGCCACGCACACCCCACTGGACCCCTGCTGCGCAGTTCTCCTCCCCCGCCTGCCAAGGGCAGGGGAATTATTAAATCCCCCACTCTTCCAGGCGAAACAAAGGAGGGCCGGCCATCCTCCCTCCTGCCCATTTCCGCCCCCCGAAGCCTCCCCGGAGCCCCTTTTCTGCCAGAGGCTGAAATTTTCATGTAGACTCCGTGAACTGCCAGAGCGCCCACCTGGGAATCAAAGGTGGCACTGGTCAAAGGCGACCCCAAGGCTCCAGTTGCCTCCATCTCCCGCTCACCAACTGGATTCGCATAGCTCTGGTTAGCGGCTGGTCTTTCTGACCTTGGGGCCCATGGTAGCGCTGGGCCAGGCGCGATTCGGGCCAGGTGAGGGATGGAGGGTTCCCGCTTGGCGAACCCAGGTAGCCTCGTTGCCAGGTGTTCTTTGGAGGGAGTCCCGAGAGTGGCTGGCGAGGGGGATGGGCAGCAGTGGCAGGTGAGGCTAGTTTACAGGGTGGCCAGGGGAGGGGGAGGTCAGAGCCAGGCTCGGGTGGGCCCCGCCCAGCCCTAGAAGTGCCAGCTGCGAGGGCTTCCCAGCGGGGAGCCAGCTGACGAGGGCCATATACTGGTGGCGTCTCTGCCTTCCAAATGCACAGTTTCTTGGAAGCAATATGGAGTCTAAATATAAGAAGCAGAAATCTGTTGAGCGTAATCAGAGCTGGAAGGCTGCCATGTTGGTTTTACGTCGAGCAGATGGCGGTGTTTTTCAATGTTTGTCAATGTTTGTCAATGTCTTTCAATGTTTTCCAATGTTTTCATGTTTTTACCTGTCACAGGTGTGACATGTATATAATATAGGTATATAAAAATACGCCCGTAGTCAAATGCAACGTTGTGTCAAAATTTGAAAGCAATCAGTGAAGAACTTTCGGAGATGTCCGGTTATGT